TCCCCGCGCGGGCGAAACACTCGGAAACATCAAAGGGAGACACGACATTTTTAGCAGCTCCATCTGCCCCTGCATTTCCAGCTTGCTGAGCAAAGCACATTCTCTGGCAAGACGCAGGCTGGCAGCTCATTGCTGAAAACCTGCATCATTTGTAGCCCGTCAAACGCCCTCTGGATGCTTTTGTCCGGGCCTGCATGTGATCTCATTGAAAAACAAAACCAAATCCGCACGGGCAGGCAGCTGACCAGCTCGGGCCTGTATCAGGAGTCCAGAGAGAGCTCCGGCCTGGTGCCTGGCAGAGTCCTGACCCGCACGTTTCTTTTCTTTGTCATACACTGACAGTGTTCTGCAGTGCGGCCCTGCACCGGAGTCACTCCAGATTAACCTTCTGTAACTGAGATCGGGGCATGGCCCATTTCTAGAACACCCGGTAAGTCACCTATTTGAGTCAAGTCGTTTTCAAAGGCTCTCCGCACTGGCCTAGCCCTGCTCCCTTGGAATCACTGGGAGTTTTGCCCCTGGCTTGAATGGAGAGTGGAATTAGGCCAAGCAAAATGGAATGCCTTAGAAAATCTCCCCTCCCCGTCCCCAAATCTAATGACCTACCTGCTCCGTTGTTATGTGGTCACCTAGGGTCTGTCTAAACTACATGGCTCCGTCGACAGCCGTGTCGTCTAGACATCCCCCTAAGGACTGACTCTACTGGGCACAGGATGGTGGCATGGGTCCTGCGGGAGCCTCTGCCAGTTTACGTGGCTTTCAGATTAAGGATGTAATAGTGGAGTCGGTTAACGGGTAAGCAAAAGCTTATAGGTTAACGCAGGGCCGGCTCGAACCATTCCTGCGCCCCGGGCAGCGGGCACGTGATGCATGCGCGGCTCCGCCCCCGGGCACGTGACACAAGCGTGGCCCCACCCCCAGGTGCATGGTGCATGTGTGGCCCCGCCCCCGGATGCGTGGCGCCCCTTAGAGCTGCCGTCAGGTGCCCCCCATAGGTTGGCGCCCCGGGCAGCTGCCCGGCTAGCCCCCCCCCTTAATCCGGCCCTGGGTTAATGCTACAGATTACACGTATCCTCCCCCCCACCGGTAAATATTTTAGCAGGCTGGCTGGCAGCCTGGCCCAGTCCTGGCTTGTGCTGGGTCCGGGACCTACCCCTGCTGTGGCTCAGCATTTAAAGTGTATTAGGAGCTAGATGGGCAGCCCAGCTCAGTTCCGGCTCGTACCGGGCCTGGGAGCTCAGACCCCCTCCCCCCCCAGACAGGGACTGCTGCCACCCTGCGCTGCTGCCTCTGTATCAGAAGCAGCAGGCAGCGAGTCTGCAGGGGGGCTGTTTTTTAAACTGTCTCCCCTTGAGGATTGGCTCCTGCATAGCACACCCCAC